GGGGGTTGTAAAAGTAGGGGGTGGGTGAGGAGTTAGCGGAGTGGAAGTCTCTGGCGTCATCTGCAGTCCGTCCCTTCTTCGCTCTAACTGACCGTCACACAGCAGCTTCAAAATCTTCATTCTAACGTCTAAATTGAGAATATAAAATAAATATGCGTGCAAGAGGCAATGTCACTAGCTGAAAGAGTGAGGGGGGAGGGAGGGAGGTGAGGTAGATAGGGCAAGGATCACTTGAGCACTGCAGCAATTTGCTCTCCCATCAACCCCCCCACCCCACTCCACCCTCACCCCATCCTTGTGTTGATGCAAGAACGTGTGTGTGTGCGTTTGTGGCGTTGCAGCAGCAGGATTTGCCTGCCAGTGTGTGCTGCTTTGATGACTAACCACCTTCCTCCCCCACAGCTCTTAAGACAAACCCCCCAGCACTACTACCCATCCCTGGGAAAGATGGAAGGATGGAGGATGCACAGGGAGAGACAGAGAGAGAAAAAAGCGAGAGAGAAGGGAGGGGTGTTATGTCAGAAAAAAGCTTTGAGCTTCTAGTCTCGTGGCTCCTGTATGAACAGATGGAGGGACAGAAAGAGAGAGAGAGAGTTGACATGTAGTGGTGGAAGGTGGATGGATGGAGGTGGAGTGATGAGACTCGGGTAAAGGAGGGGGGGTAAGAGTGAACTGAGAGACTAAGAGAAAGGTAAGAGGGGGAAAAAGAAAATGGACATGCGGATCACAGAAGGAGGAACAGAAGAGAGGGACGTGATCACTGAAGTGAAGAGGGTCGATGAATCCGATAAAACACTGTATCTGCCTGCAGCAGAGTGGATACGTCAGCATGTGAATGTGGGTACACAGTATCGAGGTCTGCACGCCCTCACTCACATACAGGCCAAACCTGGACAGGCAGCGGGACGTGCTCTGTGATTAAATCAAAAAATCGCATGAGTCACCGAACACAAGCTGCCACAAAATAGCTAAAAAAAAAAACTTCTGTTCTTTTTTACTGTTTTATTACTGAATTTAGTTTTATGTTGTTTTTATATATGGATTTATTTAATGGGTATCTGTATCCTGGGGGAGATTCTGGCAATCACAGTTGGTTGATTAACAAGGGAGCACTGCAATTTCCATGAATCAATAAATTAACCCTTGAACCTGCCTAAAGTCAGATTCTCAGTTTCAGAATACGCTACAAAAAGCTTCCAAGTACTGATTTAGTGCATTGATATCAAAATATGGTGTTACCGACTTTTCCAGAAAAGGATTAGTAGCCCTGCTATTTAATGAAAAATCTCTATAAGCAGCTCTATTTCGTCAGGTCCTGTAATTGCCTTTCCATCCCTCACTAATTGTAAATTATGTCGTTTTTTTAATCATTCTGAGTTCATAGGA